GGATTCAGTGTAAGATTCTATTCGTATAAGGTTTATTAGTAAAACGGCACTTTGGTTATGCAATTTTGATACACAACTACGTACTCGTATTTATATTTTTCAACGCCTTAAAAGGTATCAACATCATTTTAATATTACGTAGTATTGGCAAATTAATTTTACCTGAAGTTCTTAAAATTAGAAATAGCAAATCATTACCGTAATAGAATTAGGTTAGAGATTTAGGCATGCCAATTACACTTAAAATTAGCTAAATATGTACACCGTTCACTCTGGGAATTTTTTAAGAAAAAATGTTTTGTTTAATAGATCATTGTTATGAAGTTAAACAAAATTCTCAAAATTTTATTTCAGGGATACCCTTAAAGATACACATAATATGTGTGTTTCAAGTTCACGCCATGAAATTCGACAAGCATATTTTAAAGAAATAAGAGCTGTAGCTACAGAACAATTTCCTAATCAACCACTTTATTGATGCTAAAAATACATGCCTACTATAATCATTGAATCTCGTACATAATCAATTACCAAGAACTTTATCAAGCGGTTACTCCCACATATATATGTATACATACAGGCAAAATGTTTGTATTGAATAAATTAGTTTTTTTTTACTATAAGTACAATATCCATTTGCTCTATTTGATTTACATTAAGTCGCATTTCAAGTGTATTAATTAGAAAAAAACAAAGAATTATCAATATAATTTTTAAAAGCAAATTTAAACTTCTGCATTTAAAAATAACAAAACCAATAATTATCATTACAATTATTGAAACATTTTCAGAACGTAAATTTTTCCCACGACGTGTCATTTTTAAATTAATATTGTTTACAATATTACAATTATCCTAATCGATCAGTCCAAATGGCCAATTGTCAGTAGATTATTCTCAACTTGAAAAGTCAATGACATACACACATAAGTTGTCATTTAGTTTTAAATCTTTAAAATTTGTAGTAACACTTTTTTAGTTGAAAAAATACCCCAAAAATTTAATAAGCTCAATTTTATATAAGCTCATGCCTCATAGGGATATAATAGAACCATGGATGAGAATGATAAACAACGCAAACAAAAAAGCAAACATTTTTTAATAATAATTTACTATACTTTTAATTTTGTTCAAACTTACTTTTTGAATCATTTTAACATTATTTCGTTGAATACTTTTAAAAAAATGACTATATAACCTAAATGTTGGTTAAAATATTTCATAATAATAATTAAGGAGATCTTAGAAACGTGCATTTACGCGGAACTTGTGTTTCTGAATTTTTTGTCAACACACATGACCAATTAAAAAAAAAACATAACTATGAAAAAACTGCAGACTAAATTTAAAAAAAAAAGTTAAGGGTATCTACTATTCATGCAGATACATCAATACATATATATGTTCTGGCCAAACGTTTTTTAGTAGTTTTATAATATCTGGCCTTGATCGATTTACTGGCAACATTTATCAATATTTAACATTTCTCATAAATTAATTTCCGTAGATCCCCAGTAATTAAGTGCCTCCCTAACAGATTAATTTTACTATCCTATAATATATATTGTTACATCGTTATATCCTTATATTATGGAGTACCTAATCTCTTATCTCTAATAAATAATCACTTACAACCGCTACACACTTATACCCACACGCACAGATTTCCCCTTTGATTTGACCCCCAGCCAATAGACAATAGTAAAAAATCACATTAATGTTTACTATATATTTAATTTGGTCATAAATAATATTAACAAGATATTTAGATTAAAAAAAAAATCACAATAATAAACAAATATGACATACCAGAAACAATAATGCTGAAATGAAAAACAAAAAATAATACAATAGAAATTAGAATGTATAAACAAATATAAAATAAATAAAATGTATAAAATATTTAAAAAGTATGTAAAGGTATACTCCGATCATGAACAATTTGTTTTACACAGTTGTCTCCGGGTAAGCATGATATTTTAACGAACGGACAAAGGTAGAACGGTAAACGTAGTAGCCATCCAGCGGTGGCTTGATACTCTTAGTCGCCGGCCGATCCCTTTTTTCGATCGTTGCCAGAAGCTTAGCTGCTGGTCGACTTGATTTTCATTGGTTTCTTCTTCACTATTAACTGTTGCCGCCATTGGGACACGACAGCAAACAGTCTCGAGTCCGTCTGTGTCAGATTTCGCAACGATTTTCTTGTTTTTCGGCAGTCGGATCGGCAGAACAAAACTGACACGCACCAATGACAGCACTCCGTTAAACGGGAGCTGAGAGAACAACCATAGCCGGGTGGATTTTTCTCTGGCAATCGACACGTTCAACATAGTAAAGCCACAGCAAATACGCGGTACAGGTCTTCCCGTACTCCACGTAGTATTATGGTGACTGTAATAGTCTCCAACCGCCGAGTCACCAGAAATCAGATGCGCTTTGAAAGGTGAAGCCCACGACTGTTTTACACGAGCTGTCGATATGGCGCTAATCGGTGGATTGTCGAAGAGCCATTTTCTGACTGTTTCCTCTTCTATCCTCAGAACATCCGAAGGGGAAAGGCCAGACAGGACGACCGAAAGCTTTTCAGGCATCCTGAATTGGATTTTGACAAAATCTGACAAGAACGTATAGAGAAAATTGTGTATAGTAGAGCGATGGCGAGTAAATGATAAGAAATCGTATTTAAACGGCGAATTCGTAAGAAGTTGATCAGTGAGATCCGAGTAGAACCAAATTAAAACGACAATGTGAGAAAAACATCGTGTTTATCGACGGTACCTAGACAACTGCCGCGTATATCACCTTGACAACCATAGCAAAATGCGCATCTCATTTTTGTTAGATCTTTTTGAAACTCCTTGGGTTTAAATCATGAACAACTTAAATCATGAACAACTTAAATTTTGTATAAAAAATATGCTGTATCGTACCCAGGCAGTAAAAAAAAATCGGATTATTTTTAAGGGAACCGAAAGCAAATAAAAACTAAAACGCAGAGTCACTTACTGAAGTGTCTACCGAACCGATTTCAAAATTTTTTTGTTTTGTTTTATAGTTTAATATTTTCTCTATTGAGGCTAAAAGGCTTAATTTTTATTTTTGTTTACAAAAAATATTTATAAGCATTTTTAGTTTTACTTTTTTCTAATACATCCAACTACTTTTTTAATCGCTAAATCAAAAATCGGCCTTTTAGCCCTTAAGAACTTTCAGCTTATAAGCTTTTAGAGGTCAAAACATATGAAAGAATGATAAAGAATAAAATATCCCATTTAAATGAAAAAAAAAATATTTTTCTGAGGTAGTTTTGTTGCGTTGCTCTGTCGTTAAAAAAAAAAGGGTGCTTGATGGTTGCACTTATTTTTATATTAAAACACTTATATATCCAGTGCCGGATTAAGCTTTTAGAGGCCCTTAGAAAATTCGGAATCAAGGCCCCTACAAATGTTCTCCTAATTGTTTGTATCTTGTATCAAAAATGACTCTTTTCTATATTAGCAATACACATTTTATAGTATAGATATAAATTCTACTTGAACCCTAAACCATAAAAATTATACACTTCTTGCGTACACGTGTTACGACAACGATGTTGTCATCTTCAGCGCTAACAACAGACTGTTATAGAAGTGTATAATTTTTATGGTTTAGGGTTCAAGTAGATTTTATATCTTTACTATATATTTAACCATAAGTTTGCTTAACAGTTTTTTCTAGAATACACACTTTAGCTTAATGTTAAATTTTATTGACTAATTATTAGTATTAAGAATTTTCGAAAATCGCCTAAAGTTTAGTTCTTAACAAATAGGACCATAGACCTATTGGATAATCCTACACTGAATAATACATCGTTTGTGTTTGACAAAAATTGTAAAAAATTGTAAAAGTATTTTGTAATAGAATTATAGTTATTTTAGTATTAGATTATTTTTAAAGTTATAAGAGTTTAAAAGTTGGGATGGGAGGGTGAAGTGCGATTGGGAAGTACGTGCAGATAAAAGTAATACTATACTTCACTTTTCCTCCTGCCCTAAACTTGAAACTTCAATAAATTAAAAAATAGTTATCCAAAACTGGTTATCGACCAGTCAACATTTTTAGTATATAATACATTAAGATTTAAAAGTTGCTATAAAAAAACTAAGTTGGAAAAGGGTAAAACAGAAAAAAAATTGTGAACACATTATTTAAAAAAATGTTATTTCTTATTAAACCCTGTTGTGTGGTTTCCGATAAAATTATCATCCTGTAATATATATATATATATATTATATATATACATATATATATATATGTATATTAGACTGGTTTAAAAAGCCTCCACAATGAAAAATTAGTACACCTCGTTGAAAAAAAATCCGATTTATTTTAGCCAGTTGCAAAGGCATTATTAATTTCCCATTTAAATAAACCACAAAATATACTAGATTTTTTTTAATTACACATTTCAATTTTAAAGACACATGATTCTGACATACGGCGTTTAAAAGCTTATAAAAAGTTCTTCGAGATTGATTATAACTGTAAATGAGTTTTGACAAGTAGTTTAGCCGATAAAACCCTCGGAGTATTGAAACAATAAAAGAATATCAGGTAAATAAGAGCTGAAATAATAAAATTAATTCGATACTTATCCAATTTTACGATTTTGAGGTTTTGGTATCCCTAGATACAGGAAAAAATAAGCTATTTTATGATAAAATCTCTAACGCGCTACCTCCATTGTAGAATAAATAAAAAATAAAACCTTCTATGTATTACCTACTACAAATCGTTTTACACGTTTTAATGTCTCCTGAACAATTAGGTTTAGCCAATGGGAGATTTTTCGTGGCGATATATTGAACACAAATTAAAAACCTCAAGAACCAGATCACTGAATTCACTATTTGTTTCTTGAAAATTCTACACTCGAATCGACAAAGGTATTCAATGTAGCCTTCAGCAACCAACGCAAACTCTCCGTTAGCTAGGATAAAATTAAAAAAAAAATGGCATTTCGCATAGCCCCTGGCGTAGCCGGGGAACGCAGCAATAAAGCTATATATTATGTATATATTTTGCCATGAAAATACATTTTAAATTCTTAATAAATAAATTATGACAAATAATTTAATAATTATATTTCAATAAATAAATAATTATGTTTTTGGTGGTCAGTATTTTCTTTTCACTTAAACTACTGACTAAAACGACAGTCTGTTTTTAATAAAAAGAATATACCAAAAAACACACAAATAATACATTTACTTAGGTTGGTTTTTATGATGCCAAACCTATTATTTCTTAGCTATAATATTTTTATTCTAGTACATTATAGATTATCGTTTTCATGTTTGTGTATATTTATACAGGTCCAAATTGATCAACATTTGCTCTGTCTAGTTTGCACGTCCACTGAAAGCATAACAAATATATTGTTTTCAAATGTCTTATTAGATTAATAATACTACAGTTTTTATAGTTTTCTGGCTTTTTTTTATAAATTTGATATAACATTTAACTTTTAAGTATAGTTTAGCCTGTATTTTTAGACTTAAGTTAAACTCTAAATTATTTTAACTTAATAAGTAATAATTTATTATAATAGATTACCAAAACTAAAATCCAAATTCTGTGATTGCACGTGTTTATTATAAATTTGTTGTAATCTCTATATTAAAAAAATTATTGAAAACTTGAATGGGGTATTGTATTTACATATGTGTATTTAAATAATTAATTATTAAATTTAATAAAAGTTGGGAATATCAATGGTACGTATTAATTTTGTAATTATTAATAATAATAAATATTATAAATTAAATTTCTAGTTACTAGTAACTAGTAAATTAAAATGCATGTTAATTTAGCTTAGTGACAAGTTTATTATAATTAATTAATTAGCTCTAGTTAGTTTGAGAAGAACGTAACGTTACCCATTTTGTTCGCTAATAATTTATTTTTGATTTTAGAATAATTACCTAAGTATTTTTTTCTATTAAAATATGAATTAGTTGTTGGAATAAGGAATCCAAAACAAAAGTGTATGCTTAATTATAAGTAGGTACCTCAATAATATTAAAGGTAAATTTGTCTAGATGTATAATTTCCAAGAATTCTCATTGAATAATAAAATATTTTTTTATGTGTGCCACTTAAAATAATTTTCATTTGATAGTTACGCTTACCAATTTGCTTTCTGGCTAGCTATACACTTTTGGCTAATTATGTCGTAGCTAGTAGCGTAGCCGCAATTTAGAATATGAGTGAATCCATTACGACAAAGTGTAACTGATGAACAATCTGGAGTTAACCTGTATACACTTCGGTGGTTGCAAAGGACTCCTGTATTTACCATACCTTAATAAAAATATTATTATTAGTAGAGTATACAAAGCAATTATTTAAATTATAATTCCATACTTGGAGGTATTTTTCTTAAGCTGTTAGTATATGAGATCCGAGCCGGAACAGCGTCACCGGCTGGTGTGATAGACGACGTTGGAATAAATTCAGTACTCGGTGAAGATTCAGCTGAAGATAACGACGTGGAAGAAGTGGTAGAAGACACTTCGGGTGCAACAGTAGTAGTTAGGTCAACTTCGGTTCCCGATTCTATTGGTTCTGGATTACTCGGTAAACCTTTGCAGTCAACCCGATATGGGTAATCACAGATTTTTAATTCCTGAAAATATTACGAATACATTTTATACAGCAGCCTAAAGTATATCGTTCAATATAATATAATGTATACTTCATTGTAATTTGTTCCACCAGGACAAACGAAGTCCACTGGTGTTCCAGCTACACAAACGTAAAAAGCACCACAATTTTCTTTACTACGGTAGGTGCCATAAGCATCTGGACATTGTGTATTATTAATGCCACCGCTACTTGAAGATTCTATAAAATAAGTTTCTATTAAATAATACAATCCATAATATGAATTGATTATTTATTATATTTTGTAGGATATTTTGAAGACATTTAAACTTATTTCTCTCTTTTGTAAAAATACTTAATGATGAAGTATCAATTATTCTCTGACCTGTAGCAGTAATGGGTTTTCCACCGCAGTCTACATTGGCAGGATAATCACAATATTGTTTTTCCGCATTGAACGCCAGTCCTGCAGGACATTCCTGCTCGACTGCTGTTTCGTCCCAACAATTGACGAATTTGTTACAAGAAGTTTCACTTGGAAATTGTCCTCTAGGTTCTTTACATTGAGATTTTAATGCATCTGTTGAAGGTGATGCAGTAGATCCAACTTCACTTTCGGGAAAAAGAGTAGTTGCAGCATTTGTAACGCCTTCAGGTTCCCCTGTAATTGATGGACCTACACATATTTGTTTTTGTTGAAAATTTATAAATCAAATATATCTAGTATTAATTATTTAAGTAGTATACTAACTAGTTGGAAATTCAGTTGGCAATTCGGGTTTTGTAGTTGTAGGTACTTCTTCTGGCTGTCCTGGATATAATGGTACACCTGGTGGCTGCTCTGATGGAACTTGGTTGTCGGGATATGCTGGAATTACTTCCGGTAATTCTGTTGAACTTTCAGGTGTGTAAGTTGTTGTTTCTGGTTTATCTGTCGAAATTTCAGGGGGCTGTGTCAGTTCTGGGATATCGGGTTCAGCAACACCTGGAGGTGGGATACCTGTGTCTACTTGTCCGGGAAATCCTGGAGGTTCAATGGTCACATACCCACCATCTTCTGGTTGAGATATTGGCGATGTCGACCCATCTGGTTGAGACGTTGTGACTTCTTCAGAAATTAACGGTTCGGGTTGTTCAGTCGTACTAGAAATGGGCTGCGGTGGGTATAGTGGCTGTTGGGGATATGGAGAAGGTTGTGGATATGGAGATGGTTGAGGGTACGATGGTGGAGGGTATGAAGGAGGCGGGTATGATGGTTGTTGGTAAGAGGGTTGTTGGTAAGAGGGTGGTGGGTAAGACGGTGGTGGATAAGAAGGAGGAGGGTATGAAGGGTAACCATATGATGGTGGAGGGTAGTACCCATTAGCAGGAACTTGTATCCATACACTGGATGGGGGTTGTCCCGCAGGTTGTGGTCCCTGGGCAACTGGTTGGCCATTAATTACGGCAATTTGCCATTGTTGAATCTGTTGACGTAAATATTCTTCGTATTCGCTTCTCAGTTTATCATCAACAGGCTTGGGTGGTTCTGGATGAAAAAATATTTAAAATTAACTCTAAATTAACTTAATAAGAATCTATAATAAAATATTATTTTATTAAAATTAGTGCAGTGACTAAAAGCTTAGCTGTGTTAATGTATCTTTAAATACATTTCAATATTCCATCGTTATAAGCAACCGGTCTCAAGAAAATATATTATATTGGCATCAAACAACCGGTTCAGGCACATAACGTCACAATAATATTTTTCTTTTTACATATATTTACACTAAAACATCCGATTCTAATGACATCGCGTTACCGCCTATAACCCATGTTGCAGATGTTGCTATTCATATAGTAAGATTATCGGTGAATGAACTCTATTAGGGAAATATTTTAAGAGGGCGTCGCACCGCCCATTTTTAAGGAGTAAAGTATAGGCAATTTTTTACAAAATCTTATTTTAAAGGTTAAACTGTGATGTGTAATAATTAGTTCAATAACTAAGACTCTATTTTGGTAGTTAATTTATTTTTTGGACTATCACAGCATCCTTGAAAGCAATTTAAAAATGTTTTTTCATCTCTACTTGTTTAAGCAGACTGAAAATAACTCGCTTAATTTTGGATTTAGAGTAAAGTCACCAATTATAAAATTAAAAGAAAACAATATTTCGGAGGGCAAGACGGTGCGTTTTTTCATTATTCTAAGTGAAGCGCTCAATACATAGTTTAGAAATAACGACTATTTTAACATTTTTAAATGACTATAACTTTTCAAAAATGAATTTTTTTAAACAAAACGCACCGTTTTGCCCTCCGGAATATTGTTCTCTTTTAATTTTATAATGGGTGCTTTTACTTTAAAACCAAAATTAAGCGAGTTATTTACAGTCTGCTTAAACATGTTTTTACCTCTGAAAATCACCGGTGCGACGCCCTCTTAACGCATAAGCTGATCGCAATAAAATATCTAGTCAGGTCCACTTTGAGACTTATTTACGAAAAATGATTGCTACATAATAATTTGATTTAAAGTATTTCATTATAATATTGTTCTCACAGTAAAAGATGAGTAATTTGTAGTTATGATTATTTAATAATTTAGATGATTTTAATTATTTGTACTTACCAAAACGGTTTAATTGGTAGTATCACTGATTATATATTTTTATTAAATCCCTATTGGTAAAAGCTAAAAAGTTATTATATTTTTATATTACAATACAATGTTAAAAGATATCTATAGTTTTATAGCTTACAACTTTTTTGATAGTTTCAAAAATCCAAATGGTTGTTAGTTGCATAAGAAATATGAGAATTCTTAAGATTAGACCTACACTTAATTGTAAGTTCTTTAACAGTTCAAACGGTAATTTCATTCTGAAGTACCGACTTGTTAAATGGATACTCGAGTCTACTCTAATAAAATAAAATGTGAGAGCAAACAAAAATGATTTACATTTATTTTATATTATTTTTAATTTAATTTTTAAGTTACTATAAATACTATTGACTATTGGTATAGTTGTGTCTTGTGATGATAGTGTTCGTTCATTGCGAGTCAAAGTGATTCGCAGCGCACGATATGCTATTGTAGAGTATTTTTTTTATGAATATTTTTATATTATATTTATTTTTACTACAATACCTACTACCCATATTTACAATTTGTTTTTCTTATTCTTGAGCTTAACTCTTAAGTGTAGTATAAACAGGCGTGAACACTAGTAAAATTCCGGTTGACAATTTGTCACATTTTTATTGGTTTTTAAATATGAAAGGGACATTGCACCTTGTTCCATAAAATTCTCTTTAGTAGTTTTTAATAATTATGTTATGTGTAAATATATTAATTTTTTGGATTCGGTTTTAGTTAATCGCTTACATTTCAACCAAAATAAGTTTAAAAGTATAAACTCCATGTCCATCAGTGTCATACATTAATTTAACTACGTGTCATAGAAGGTAGGGATTTGAAATACATTTAAAATACGCCAATGGAGTGTGCCCCCCGAAAAGTTACTCGCAAGTTATGTCACAAACGGTAAGCACTATGCGCGCGGCGAATAACATTATGGCAACTTTTACAATATCTTCTTGACAGCTTTCTAGACTTGTCGCGACATATCCGTTCAACGATCACTTCTGCAAATGGATAAAATCGCCAATGTAACAATTGATGTAAACTTGTACCTACTCACAATCAGTCCGACTGCAATACATATCGTAACCTTGTTTAACACTGTTTAGCGTAGTGGCTAGTGCGCTTGCGGTTCACATTTGATTTGCAACACACGCGGTTAACCTGGTGGCCCCTTTGGAAACGACACAATCGCGTCACGGGGACGAGACAAGATTTTAATCTGGCTCATTATTGTCTTCGGCGTACACGGCCCGTCTCAAATGTTGTACATGGAAACTCTGCGGAATCCGGAATGAGCCTATACACGCTGTACACAACACGTATACTTGTATATAGATATCTAGATATAGTTGTACATAGGCAAACGATCGGACTGTATTATATTATCGTTGCTGTAAACATCGATACGACTGGCGATTGTGTTTGTTCTGATTTACGAGTCTGGTTTTATATAATTCGCAAACAACAACAACGATCTGTGTTGATCAATTAAATCTAAATCGGTCTACGTCGATCTCAGTCGAAGGGTAACGATCTATATCGGTCTACATAACAAAGTCGAAGATTTATAGCGCGGAAAAAAAACCTTTAACGCAGAAATACGTGTCTCCGTCCCCACAATCTTCCGTACAAAGCTATTTGATATTTATGTAGTCATCTCCAGTTAAAATCGTATTCGATGGGTTTTATATATATGCGCATAGCTTAGCAGGTATTGAAAAACAACCGAGCTCGACCAGCCTCATAACAATCCAGCGAACATGTAAGTAGTATCCGTTGAGCAGGAGCAATGAAATCGCGAGTGACATAAAACTATATTATTCAGTCGGTTTAAATGTCGTAAAACAGCATCTTCCACAATAAATAAACTTGTAAGTTTTCGCCTTCGGTGGAATGTAATACGCATAATATTTCGTCATCGGTCATAACCTATAGGCACTGTAAACGTTACACACTAGAGTTGGATAAAATTTATGATCACGTCGTATCCAAAATGTGTTGATAATTTACTACTATATCTTCGTACGGTTATTCTACGATTTCGAGAGTTCGTGAAAACCGTGTAATCGATACGGTTTTTTAAATAAACAGCAGGGTGACTTGATAAATTAGTGATGTAATAATGTAACCGCTCATTATCGTGTTTAGACTGTTATTATTTATTAAGTAGCGTGACATAAAGTATAATAATTATGCGGTGCGTGGATTCACGGGCATGCTGTATCGTTGTTTTTAAAAGACAATAACAAATTCTGATAGGAAACTACGTTTTTTTAATGTATATCAAGTTGAACCGAGAACGACCTGAACGAGAATTGAGTTTTTTTTAAATAATAAGAAAATTTAATCAGATACAGTATTTAATATGGATTGCTGCTTGCTCATCTTGTGGTTAGATTATACATAATTGCCTGATGGTGGTGCTTTGAAGCGACTGTTGTCTGGTCTCTGTTTCTCATACATAGTTTGCGGCTTTTATTATAAGTTATTGTTTTTTGACCGTCGATTGTCCTAAGTAACATAAACGAGTTTAACGCAGCAATTAAATCCTGTATAGCTGCATCGGTGGTATGCAGTATGCTCGTATAGCATACTCAATACTGTTTCAACGGGATGGCAGCAACCGTATGGGGCGACCATAACGTTTATTTGCCACCAGCTCGTGAGATAATTGCACAAGTCGTCTGAGAATTTCACACCGGCGGAATGCGTCGAAAAATTAAATTCTCGAAGTGTCACGGACCTGATGAACCAGCGATGTCGTGCGGTACAGATGTTTTGATTTGCGACATCACCGGATGCATGTCCGTTATTATTATTATTTTTGCCGTTGTTATGATATTATGATGACTGGTGAATTGCGCGAAAAGAAGAAGAGGACAAATAATAAGGGAAAACGGAAGAAAATTACCCGTATAGGTACCGGCGGTTATTAAAATGCGTGAAATTAAGACGTCTCAATTAGGAAAAATAATAATAACGTTGCGATTGTTGCAATTCCTCGGTGTGACTATGTCCGTATATACCGTGGTGTATTATTATACAGTTCCATTTAGTGGTCACGGTCGGCCAAGTACCCACCCGTGTACATGCACTAAAGCCGTTGTGTTTGAGTATGACGTCCGTGCATGGGTGCAATATTGCTGATTTGTATGCCCATCGGAAACGGCCTAGATACAATTGGTGTACAACAACGTGAAACTTTCGGCGAAAATATAAAAATATGGAAAAAATTATTTTAATGTCTCGTGCGATATACGTGTGATTAAAAAGGTGAGGATATATTAAATTACATTAAAAAAGGTTTTAGAAAGTTAGACGTGATTAAAATACAAGAGCCGAGTTCAGCATTCCTTGTGGGCTATGGGCTATGGCTTGCAGGTTGTAAATGTGTCGAGCAACTAAACAGATACAACAAGCCGACTACCGGCATTATAAAGTACACCTACACCTATGTTTGAATGTTGCCATGTACATATACCCGCAATATCGATATATTTATAAGTGGGCAGCAGGAGTGGTCACTATGGTATACATTTTGTTTTTAGATTGTAACTACAGTAAGGAGCTATAGTTATCCAACGGATGTGTCGCGTTGATCACAAAAATAAAAAATGTATACGTTTTGCAAAACTTAAATTGGCTAACAATGACTAATATCTATTTCTGCGTAAATAACGGTTTAAAAAAACGATTTATATCAAATAAACGACTGTTAGTAAAAAATAATATGCTTTTTATACACAATAGAGATATTATAATTTATACTGGTATAACTTATACCAATTTATAATTAGCATATGCCGCCCGCGTGAATCATTTCGGCCATTTTGTTTGTAGACAATCTGTGTATTTATATATATGTACATGTGAATTTTTTATACATACATATATAAACATTGATAATAACGTCTTCAAACAAAATAGCCGAAATGATTCTCTGTTATCGGCCCGTCGCTCAGAAGTGTCCAGGGCCTGCTATAACATAACACATTGCTACAAGTTTAAATTTCGCTATGATGGTGCTTTGATATCTTACATTTTGCTTTTCAAGATTTATAACATAGCGTGTAAAATATATTGGTATACATTTATAAAATTACATGTTCTGTCAATCAATGTTGAATAAAAATATTCGATGGCTGGTTTCAATGTATTACTTTTAAGACAAATTAGCTTTATCATCGACGTTATGCAATGTATTGTAAAACGGCATATATATTAGAGGTACTTAAGAGCAGATTACACGCATGTTTTAGATTGAATGCGGTTTAGACTTTAGGAATAGCTATTACTCGTTTTACGGTCGATTTATATATTTTTTCACTTACGGTTTTGATAGGTATAGCCTAAAGCCTACGTTAATCTTTTTATGAATCGGACGCATGTTTTACGATGGGATATAATTATAGCTTTAATGATTACAAAACGTTTTTAATTTTGTTTACAAACAACTTTTAACAACTGACACGGTACGGCGGCGGAATCTGACAGCTATTACAATATTATTACATGAACGCGCATACTATTAAACCAAAACGATCGCCTCGTTCATCTTTGTTAAGATTTAATGCATTTCATAGCGGAAAACATTGCACGTTGAAACTTTAAATAATTTCTGGCGCACGTCGCTCGATACTGGACACTCGGAAGGATTGGACACTGCCCGAAGATAAGTAGTTAACGTTTTATTTACACGTGTTTGGCCCTTAAACGGAATACAACTAAATTCAACACATGGACGAAACAGGTGCGTTTGGTCTCTCCAAGACAGACCACGGGAAGCCGTCTTCCCCTCCTTCTCCTTATAATGGAGTTATGTAACAAATCGCGCCGCTTCGAAGACAGTATAGTAAATGCGTTTGGCGTTCAAAACGTATTGGTCGTTAAACTATGCAGTAGTTGTTATTAAATCAGTTTGTGCATTGCGGCTATTAAAAAAAAAAATCAACCGGGCACGTAAGACTAGCGCACACAGCTATCGACCCCGTGGGAATGGTAAATGGTTTTATTGGGATATCGTTTGTCTCACAGTTTTTATTTCGTTCACATTTTGTATATAAAAATATGATTTTTCTATATAGCGTGGCGAGTGTTTAAAAAGCAAATCTCGAAAAAAAGGCGGCTAATAGGTGATTTGAACGTGATTCGAATGATCTGGACGAGGGAAAAAATTGATAAAATAGGCCGCGGTTTGGCAGAGACTTTAACGCGACTACCGGTGTTTTGGCACATTCGCGGACAGGCAGCATATTGTAGGTAGTGGCTTCTCACCATCAATCAAATCGTACACATACATGTAATTTAATAAAACATTCTTGTCTCGTTTTTGTGTGTGTGTGTGTGTGTGTGAACTACGGACGGCCGAGCTGACTCCGCCACGACCAATAAAATCGTGCACGACTTACCTCGCGGTGGGAAAAGTCTGGGAACATTATGCGTTAACTAAAGAGAAAAACATTTTTTTTTTTTATTAATAACAAGCGGTCGAGGGGTGAGATGAAAAAACGTTTGAGGCGACGCCGATGCGCCGATGCGCCGACGACAGAAGACTATGAGGAAAAACTTTATTAAGCAGCAAATGCTGCAACATAACATCCGAAAGGTCGGTTTGAGTTATTTTATTAGCTAGAGTTGTTTGTTTCTGTCCTTACGATGGTATAAGCTATTTGTTTTATTTTTTTATACATCCAATTTTTAAAGTAGGTTTTAATGTAATAAATTTTTTTTTTTCCAGAACATATGTAGGTAATTTTTTTCTCGTTTCTCCGACGTTGACCGTAGATAGACGTCTCGTTTAATTTATTTATTAACGTTTGCGCGGATTAGTCATTCGAGACGATGAACGAACCAAGACCGATTAAACACATCGTAGCCCATGCTACTATATTATATTGTTGTAGAGTTGGTTTGCTGTCATCGTTTAGATAGACTGCAATATTGTCATTTGTCCCACTATTCGGACGGGCACCTTATAATATTTATAAGCAATGGTCGTTGGCGTTAGCAAAATAAGTTGATTAAAAAACATGCGATTTCGAGTTAACGGTGTAAAAAGAAAACAGAGTACTCATCTCCAATCATATTTTATAATTGATTACTAACTTAATCGAGTAACTCGCTGTATTCGTCTTCTTTGTGAGAGACAAGGTTCTCTTAAAGTATAAGTTTTTAATTTATAATGATAGAATTTTTCTTTAGTGTTAGTGGAATAATGACTATCGATTATATACACAAATCTTTTTAACTTTGAACTTTTTGTCTTAAATCTTGAAAAGTAAAAATAGCTTCACTAGATTATAATAAACATTTCAATTTATTAACTGTAATTATTTCTTGTTATATTTATATTTTCAATTTATTTCTAACGATGACGCCGTTCAATGATCAAATATGGGGTTGGATCTATAAGCTACGATGGTTAAGTAAGAATGATGGGCTCAAAACTTGAAAATTAATTTACGTGTTTAATTTATACACTGACTGTATTAGCCATTAATGTAATGACGATAGCGTGTTTCGATAATGTGATGACCGTTGTTATTGCGGTTAGCTGCTTTCAGTATGGTAAGTATAGACGAAACTATTTGATATAAGGTCAGCGAACGGCCTTGTTTGTGACAGTAAACAGCACATCCAAAACATTAACCGCGCTTTACGCCGATGGGTGCAATAAGAGATAGCTAAAAGTTTTGATCCGCAGTTACTACAAATAGGAAATCTAGGGTTACATTTTTTAGTGTGAATACATTATTTTTATTATTATGTAGATAGATGCAGAATGTGATGTTTGAGATTTACGATTGAAAACCGCTATATAAAACACGAGTGATGAGTGTTATAAACCCTCATAAAGTACGAATGTAAATGCTTACAAAATACCGTGTCCGTTTTCAGTTTTACTATTTCAATTCCTATTTTTTATCTTCGATGCGGAGCTAAAGGTAATGTTTTTACAATGATGTGTTTTTGTTTGTCTAATTATTTTGTCTGGACTCACGATATCTTCAAGCCACTGAACCGATTTCTTCGTGTAGCAACACTATAGATCAGAAATCGTATCTGTAAGGTACTTTATTGGATAAAATTTTTTAAAAATTTACCCCTTCCTCTTCAAAATTGAGAAAAACACCAAAAGTGTTCACCTATTTTTCAATTAAAATTACGGCCCTCCATAATTTTTAAAAAAATTGTCGAATGGTCCCAAATTTGTATAGAATGTTCTTTAGATATAGTACTATCGACGAAGGTTAACAGACTAAAAAAATATCATAAACCCGTTTTCCTAGAAGGGGTGGAAACGTTTTCTTTATTTCACTTTTTTAGGTGAAGTTTAGGGTTTTAGGTCAGAAAATTAGACCTTAGGTAGATCTAGAATGAGATTTATAACATATACAATTTTCACAAAACTCTGTAGTCGAACTTTTTTTTATTTAGGAAAACTCGATAAATTTGGAGAAATTACACTTTGACAGTTTGTCAGTTTCTAAGTTGCTAAGTGTGTATGAATCAACAGTCAAAAAGTATTTAAAATTTTTTATTTTATTGTTTATTACGATATTTACCTAACAATGGCAGTAAATTACTAAACAGACGACACTAATCGTATAGGGTGGAATTTAGTATTAAGTAAAAATGGTTTTACCAATATTCGTATTTTTACCATTACAGATTCGCACCGAAGCGTTTATTTAAAGTAATTTTATCATTATCAGTTGTAATAACTCATTTAGACATAGGACCTCTTTCACTGCAGTACTGGTTTTTTTTCTAATGGTTTTTATAAAAACAAAGTCTCGGTTGTAAATTTTTAATTTACTTCCAATACTTTCGAGGCTTCAATGCCCGAATAATATTATACGGTTAAAAATAATAGGTATATTTGTTATTTACCATATTTTTCAATTTTAATAATATTTGTTTTTGTATGAATGAATCAATGAACTATGAAATAATGTCAGTCAAACTAAAACACACATTTATATTTTGTTAATTAATCGAGTATATAATTATTGTATGTATTTTTGGAGGATAAATGGCGAATGTTGTATAAATATTGATAAAGTAAATACATAGGTAAACAACATTTAAACAGCAATTTAAAGGAATCACATTACTGCGAAACTACAGGTACGTATTTTCTGACAAAATATTGATGATTGTCATCAATATTTTGTCAGAAGTTACATACGATGTATTTCTACCGTTATTATTGTTTTGTTTTACATCGTATCAGAATTATATTAATGTTTTATTCAATTTAATTTTTTTATTCCGAAAATAATAATATTAATAGCACTGTTGATCATTTATTAAACGATGCTTTAAATATTTGTTCATTACGTATTAAGCAATTTTGTTGCGGTATATTTTGATATGCAGTAGCATTGATTCATTTTAAGGGGTATCGTCATAAACACTGTCGTCAATCATTATTTTAATGAAAAAGTATATTATTTTATATGAATAATTAATTATAAAAATATAAATACAAAACCACAAATCAAAGTAAAAAGTATTAAAACTTTAAGGTTAATAATGTTGTTCACTCGTATTATTTTTTATTGTTTTTTATGTATAAATCGATAAAAAATATTGTTGTTTGTCTGTTTGATCGGTTTTACTAAAAAGCTCACTGCATTAAAAAGAACCTTTTGGTAGGTTTTTCTTTAAGGATTATTAATTCACTAAATGGAAGTATTTGGTTTTACATCGTTTGCATTGAGCGGCAGCGCCGATCGTTCCCGACGTAAATAAAAATCTAACTCCCAATACATCATAACGATATTCATATAGGTACTCACTTCTAACGACTTGCTTGGCGGGCGCCGGCTTTTTCTTTTGGACTACAGCGGCTTCCGGCTTCTTGGTTTTTGACGGTGCAGACTTGCTCTTGGCCGACTCTGCTTTAGCTTTAGACACGTGCACCTGGCGCACCGGAATGTGCTGTTCGTCCGAATACCTGACCAACCCTCTGGTGGACTTGGCCGCGGCACCGACCGACAAGCTTTGCGCGGCTGCCAGCAGCACCGTCGCGGCGAAAACGGGCAGGCTATTCGAACGCATGGCGCAACGCTGTGGATGTAGTGCAAACGAATGTCGTCAATGGTGTACTGTTTGTGTCGTCTGGTCTGCACGTCTGGGCGGAAGCGGTTGGTACGGACTTGTCGACCGATACAGTTCGATGTGGTCCAGTGTCATGGTCGAGGATGCGTTTTTATATTCCATCGCCGGGCCCGGTCCGCCCCACCTGGCCGTGACCTAAACCTTGTCTCCGTTTGGCACCATCCCCGCAAACCCGTACCAATTACGTGACCGTCGACCACCGCGTGTATAGATCTTTCGACGCGATAGTCTAGATCCTATACCTATACCTAATACACAAAACGGCATCGATCGTATACGTATGTGTACGCGCTCCATAGTTATTCGGAAGTGTCGCTTAATGCTGCGTGTAAGCACGTTCGTGTTGTACATCGTGTCCATAAGCATATTCGATATTAGTCGACATCAATATTACATTTGCACGGAAGTCTTTAAGCTAGAAACGCACACGTGCGCATTCGCTAAAAAAAAACTGTACTTAGGTCCTAATATTGTATATTATTGAAAATATAACAATTTTAATTAAAACCCACCCGACAAATGAGTCTATTACCTTAATTAGGTATTAAATAATTAAATAGTCTATTACCTCACCTCTTGACCTAATTTTCTTTTCGGTCGAACTCTATTGCCGGGAACGCAATGTCACCACAATAAAAGGGACTGCTCGATAACATTTGTTATCGTTATAATGTGTTGAACTTAGAGTTTTTCTAAAGCTTATAGCTTTGCTAAAATTTATTTGATCAAAAATCGCTTTTACAAAAACAAAGATAAAGTCTTGATCTTTAGTTTTATATAGATGTACTTTTACGCTAAACCCGCCCAGTTCCTCGGAAAAGTGTCTTGACTGAGACATGTTTAACGCGCCGAAAAAAAGTGTAAGGAAGTGTCTCTTAAGCTCTGAAAATATAAAATACCTTGTTTATAGTACTGTTGGTGAGGAATACACATAATTCCGGGGGTGCTAATTTAAATACTAAGTAAGCTAAGCACGTCTAAGCTTTCCTCTAAAATGGCGTTTACGAATAAATCCAAAATCGTCAACAAAAATCCTCTCGATAGTATTTATATCTAATAAATTCCTAGAACATCCTTAACGTAGTCTCAAAAGCCAAAGGTTCAGAGACTTTAAAAAAAACTAATAGAATAAACTGAAGTCAGTGCACAACTTATAAGCACTATCTTTGGACTCAGTTTTTTTCTGGTCAATCAATTATTATGATGTCTAAGATGGCATTAAGTCTATTATTATTTTTTGTAGACGTACTTTTACAATAGAACTTCGCAGCTCCTCAGGAAAATATATTTTCTGAGATTTTTTTTACACGCAAAAAAAGTTGTATTAAGTATTGGGTTACGTAAGAAATTTTTCATTAAAAAATTAACTTAAAGTTTAAACTATAGCGCATATTTATCGGTATATTAATGAGGTATATCCATTATTAAATTATATGTTTTATTAGATTATCACAACTTCTATTATGAACGCGTTTCTTAAAAAGAAACATCTCACATTCCCAATACACCTTTACCAAAAATTATGATTGAAAGTATTTTTTAAGGTTCTTGAAAAATAATAAATATAATAAGCAATTTTTAATATATTATGTTATAATTATAACATGTGGTTTTATTTATTTTATTATTATATTTTAAACCGCGGATATGATTTTTTAATTTAGCAAGTCTATAGACCAGAAATCGTATCTGAAAGGTACTTAATTGGCCTAAATTGACCCCTTCAAAAATAAGAAAAATCAAAAACTTAAAAAAAGTTAAAACTAAGTTTTACGGCGCACTATAACTATTTTTAAAATAATCAAATTAATTCCAAATGTGTTAAAAATATTCTTTAGGAAAAGTTTTATCAATAAAACGTTGACAAATCAAAAAAATATCATAAGTCATAACCCATTTCTCCTAGAAGAGATGAACATTTTTTCTTTGTTTCGCATTTTTAAGTGTAGACCTTAAGACCTAAGACTTTAGGTCTTAAGGTCTGAACAATGAACATTAGCCTGAAAGTATATCTAAAGTATACTATATAGGCATTACATGTACAGTTTTATCACAAATTTATAATTATTATTATTATCTTTATTAACGGCAAAACTCCATTTACAAAACAATATATATATATATATATATATATATATATACATACAAAACTGTGTAGTGATACAGATACAATAAAATTTGTATATCTGTATTCGATATTTTATATTTATACCATCTACAGATGAGTATCGAGTTGTTTATTTTAAATGTATTTGATCACTTTCAGTTATAATAATACCTTAACACCTGCGACCTCCCCGATTCCAATATGCTCCGTCCCCGCACTTTGTCTGTATACCACTGTATTGGTTTTTATTTTTATTTTAAAAATTAAATGAAAAACGTATAGGTACAATAATTAATTTTCTTTAACATTTTCTAGGCATTTGACGTTTTTCAGATCTAAACTGGCAGTACATATTTCAATTTCCATGTCCGTTGTCTATATGAAGTATAAGCTGAGGAACTTTTAGAATAACAGTATCTACATCCTTAATATTCTTTTAATTTATTAACTGAATGACAATGTAATACAATTTTTTTCTTTTTTATAATACAGCATTGAATAATAATTTTAAATGAGAAAATTAAAAAAAGAATAGGTATTGTTTGGAAAACGCTTCCATAACTAAAGTCAGAATACGACGGAAACGTTATTATAAGTGATGTAATTTTTCAATCATATTTATAACGGTACAATGGAAATAATATGATATCTTTATAACAGGTACTTTTATAAATTGTTCGTGTTTTTAACATAAGTATTGTGAATCGACATGTAGATTTAATTCATTTAGACAATGAAAGAGCATGTATGTAGGTAGGTAATTAAGTATATTTGGGCTACACGCCGAAATTAACATAATAACAAATGTGAGTATAATTAAGATTGAAGTACAACTGTAGAAGTAGCTTCATAATATTTTTTAAATTAAATATAATTTATGATGTGATAAACTGTTGCTATGAAAGCATTTAAGTGTCGTAGAGCCAATGACCAGGTGACAATGACCCAATGAAGACATTGCGTACTCGTCATGATTACTCACAATCAGTCTATACCAGGAAATTATTTTAATAATTAATAATTATTTAAAAAAAATCATGTTATATGTAATAATAAATAAGTAGGTACTGTAAAATTTCAAAGGTATTAATACTAATTAATTAATGAAATAAATTACTACTTAATTATTTACACAAATTCTAGGGAGTATGACTTAAATTTACATAAATATTTTTATTGAGTAAGTAATGAATATTTTTTTAATTTCACACACGTTAACGTATGCACTCAAATTTTATTTTTATAACATTATTTGGGATTTGGGTTAATCAGAATATTTTATTTAGGTTTTCGTTAATTCGAGTGCTGTAAGAATAAACATATTCGGGTTAATAAAGGTTTCGGTTGTAATGGTCTTAAAAGGTTTTAAAGGGAACAAAAGTTCTTGTTAATTAGGTTATATAAATCTGATTGAAATTAGAGTTTTGTGTAAACTTTTAATGTTAGCGGCATCGTCATCTCACAAGTTTATCTTTAGTAAATCATTATACAAAGTTCAACAAATATTTTTTGTTAAATTTAGGTAAAAAACGCATTTAAGCTAAAAGATACGTTATATCCAAGCAATAATACAATATTTTACTAATCGACTATTAGTTTATTTTATATTTTCATCAAATCAATAATTATTAGGGAGTAGGGACGAATACCGATGAACGTCTATCGTCTAAAAATATTGACGTGAGTGCATGCTCGCTCGAGATCGCTAAGAGGAATTTAAAAAAAACATTTCATAACTTTAATGGATATAATATACTATAATTAATATTTATAACAACTAAATCGAGTTGTAAGTTGTTGGTAGTAGCTATACAACTGCAGACTAGCAAGCGTTTTGTTTTATAATTTAAAAATCTATTAATTTTAAGACACGCCATATGAACTGCAGTTTATTAATTATTATAAAATATCAACAACCAACAGTTAATTTTTTCTATTTATGTTTAATTATAAACACGGAATTTTCTATGAACTCGATGAAACCAACAGTATTTATGATGCGGTTTCAACTATTATGATGATTCTATACTTAAATAGGAATTAGGAAACATAACGCGACCTGCCTTATATTTCAGGCAGGTCTCTCTTACCCGTGGCCCTTAATCTTCTATCGTTTTACTACCTTCATGCACTCATTCTAATAAAACTAATCTTGTAACCTTATACAACATAATAATTTAAGTTTTGCTGTTAGATATCATTATGTATTCGATAAGTAAGGCCTACAAAATTTAAATATTTTTATGACTACACAAAACAAAACGTCTCTCCCGATTGCTGATCCTCTCTCGAAGTTTCTGGACGAATTTAAAGCGATTATCAATCCATTATATAACTATAATAACTATATATACACATATACATATAAATACTTGACTGTAATGTTCTTTTATTATTACTTATTACTACATACAACAATATTGTATTATAATCATCACATGTTGATACTTTATTTTGTAGTTAAATAATTTTCGAGGTATAATGTTTAATTAACGAAATCTCAATAAAACAATTAAAAAAATAGTGTTTTTTTTGTATAGTTTTTGATAGCGATTTTGTAATACTTACTCATTTATACATTAGGATTTAGTAACTGTAAACGAAAAATTCTTTACAGAAACCTACTGAATAAATAAAAACGATTAATATTTGTACATATCAACATTTTACATTTTTTATACCGTTTCAAACCGGATTTATTGCGATAGATTTAGCTGTTCCAGAGGTAAATGACACTTAAATAATAAGGCGTGACAGGGACGCAATACCGCATTACCATACCTAATGTTATTTAATATTACTTTTTTTTGTAAACCCCGTTTTAAAAATATGAACACGGTGCTAAGGTCAGTGGTCACTGAGCGCAAAGTATAAGATTAAGTTTCGAACGACGTCATCGAGTATAATATATTCGGCACCTTATAGTACTTGCGACTGAAATTGTGTTCGTATACAAGAGTGTAGACA